CATCTGGGAAGTAGCGAGGAAAAGGGAAGACTGGAGTGGAATTGGCTCATTGTCGGAGGAGCAAAGAGTGGGAAGAGAAGAGGAAGGAGCATGAGAGAGACCCTCATTAAAAGGCAGCATGTTGGCTTCACAACCATCCCGCCACTTCAATGCGCTGTCATGCAGTGATGTATCGCTCTGCATGGTGCGACAGTACCAAGGCCTTTATTCCCACTCTCCTCCATGTTTCTCAGTTCTAGCCAATTAAACACCCACTGGAATAGAAGGGAGGAAGTGCCACATTGAACATTGCACAATGTGCAGAGAGGAACTGATGAAAGGACATGTCTCTTCATGTCTGCTTAATAGCTTCAGGACATTGCCTGAGTGGCATTTAATGTCTACAGCACATCATTCACTATCCCTCTACTCCCATTTAACTTTCCGTACACGTACGCATACTTTATCGCCAAGGGATGAAAATGTTTATCAGAACTATGAATATTTCATTTAGAGTAGTTTGAGTATTGGCATACTTCATTCATAGCCCTTTTTTATTCATGATTTTGCTCTTGAAATGTCACCTGAAAGATCATAAAGAGACTCTTGTCCAATGACATGTCATTAATCATTGTTTTAAAATCATCACAATCGGTGTCTCAGGTTTTCTCAGGTTGTTGATCTTTTGGGTTTATCTGGTAAGATTGTTGGTTTTAGGGCAGTGGAAACGATAAAGGGCCTACAATAATAGGTGTACAGAATAAGTATATACTGTGTTTACCACCCTTTCTTCTTTCTTCTGCTCCATGAATAATGCAGGGCCTAAAATCCCCAACTCAACACTGCGCTTGACCTGTTCATTTGTTGTTGTATCCATGGTGGGGTCAGGCTGTGGATGTGCTAGTGCAGGAAGAGGCAGAGGCTAATCGCAACAGCAGGACAGGCAGCAGATTCGCTACTTTTCATGCTGCCCGTGTCACTCAGGCTGACACCATAAATCTCACTTATGTTCAGATCCAACCGAGACACAGGCAGAAATTACGGCCCGGAGCACATTACCAGGCACAGCAGCGTGCTGAATGCTAACAGAGAGATCCTTGATAAAGCAGACCGGCAGTTCTCTAACAGATTATTGAACAAAATCTGCTAGACTTGAGGGAGAAGATTGGCTAGTAAGAAAAGCACAAACATCAGTGTCAACTACAAAGCCATTGCATGAATAGAAATGTATTTAAATAAATCAATTAGTAAATTGTACAATGGCAATACTGTCTCTGTGCTCGGTTAAAGAATGTATATGCTTAGTGCTCTATAATTATTGTTATTATTCACTCATTATATTTGTATTCTTATGCACAGAGTATTGAAGGCAACACACTAGAACTTGACTTACATAAATCAATGCTCATGTTTTACTCCAGCTTTCCACAGAAGCCATTTTTTAAAGTGTAAATGTAATATGTTGAAGTGTGATATAATAGCCATAGAGAGTACTCACCAATTTCTTCTATCAATCGGGCAACTGTCCCTGGGCTGGAGACTGTCGAGTGTCTCAAGGGCTTCAGACCCACTATGTGGTGTATGTCGTTGTTGAAAGACTTGTAAATTACATTGGTTATATTAGTTTTTTTGGGCATTTTGGCCCAAGCCACCCATACATTTTAGTGTTATTCTAATGTAGTAAAGAAAAAGCCTATACTGTTCTATTTACAATTAAAATGTCCCTTAAATATGATTAAGTAATCAATTTGAAAGAATAATGCACTCTGCATTGTGTGTTCTTTTCCGATAATGTCACAGTCTGTTATGGATTATCTCCTGACAAATCTGACACATGTAACTATTAAGACAATAGACAAAAGTTGCCAGAAAAGAAGGACATCAACAGTAGGATACACTTCTGCAAAAGCACACATTGCAATATGTTGCACCTTTTATTGTTCTAAAAAGATTAATCATAAAAACAATGTAGGCACAAAACTAATGTTCAAATGCATTTCAATAAGATATCCCTTTTATGATGTAAGCCTTAACCATCTCAAGTAAGGAAGTCATAAATCTCCGACCATAATAAAAACTCTCATCAGGTCATCCTTTCAGTTTCACAGGCCCAGATTTTATTGTGTCTTCTTTCAGATTACCGTTAGATGACTTAGTAACGCCGCTGATGTGCACCGCTGGTCCTCATTTTGTGTTTAATTGCGCTGTCTAAGTCTGAGTGTGTGGACTATTGATGCATCACTGTGGGATCCCACTGTGGCTTATTACTGCCAGGCCCTACTCTCGGCTGCTCTCAACCTGCTGGGTCATCTCCAGCTGCTGTAATCTAACATTAGCCTCTGCTTTCAGCAGGTCCCAACCATTTACCCCATCATGTATTATAGATGACCCTCTGGAATTGGAGAAATCCCAGCAGACACAGAATTAATTTACAGCAGCAACCCTCAATTTTAAGGGGAATTGAATCACAGGCACAGTGAGATAGGGGTTTATATTCCTATATAACACTGTCACAGTCTATAAAACTGTAATGAAAAGCCATTTGAAGATTAAGTGTTTTTTTGTGATTCATTGGTATCTCTTGGCTCAACTAAAAATCATTTCACTCCAGAGCTGACTGGTCTCAGTAATGGATGCTTACAAACGAGCAAAGCTCCTTTCAACCAAACCTAATCCTCCTTTTCTCTTTTTTTTGAATGACTCTGACTCACAAGCTCACAAACACAAGGGGAAGTCTTTAGGAACCAAGTTAACAGGGCCCTGTACACATATTTTGCACTTCCCTAGGGACAATGGGATACTCTTGAATGTGGTGACAGGAAGTTGGGCACAGTAGATTGTTCCTGTCTGTGCTATTCAGGTTTAACATTAATACTCTAAACAAATGTGACATTTTATTCAAAAGGCATCACTACAGAGTGTGATTTAAACAACAAATAGTAGCTACCTCAATAGAATAGAACTGAAATGTATTCAGTGCTGGTATGGCTTCAATACTGTGCCAAAAGAAAAGGTGTCTCGGGGTTCATGCCCATTGAAATTAAAGAAGTCAGAGCAGGGCGTTTGTGTGTGAGTCAAATGCGTACAATGAGAGGCCTTTGTCAAGCTGTGCAATTAGCTCATGGAAATCATTTTGGTTCCCCAATAGAAAGAAAGCCGTGTTGGTTAAATGGTATAAGTAATGAAAGGTGCACTTTCACCTCAATGGCAGGAATTTACTGAGCTACCCAGGATTCCAGAGCAATTTGTGTAATTGAAGAGCAATTTTGTACAACCCAATGTGCATGTGGGAGAGAAAAAGTTAACTTAAACTTATCTTAATTGGCCCCAATTATCCTTTGTGACACTAGTGCTGTGTGTGTGTGTGTGTGTGTGTGTGTGTGTGTGTGTGTGTGTGTGTGTGTGTGTGTGTGTGTGTGTGTGTGTGTGTGTGTGTGTGTGTGTGTGTGTGTGTGTGTGTGTGTGTGTGTGTGTGTGTGTGTGTGTGTGTGTGTGTGTGTGTGTGTGTGTGTGTGTGTGTCAAAAGATTCCCAGACTGCGCAGGTCACTCACTCAGAATCAGAATATTTGTCCCACAGAGGGGACATTTTCATTGTTACAGCTAGTAAAGAGACACAAATAGCTTAATATTAATTAATAAGCATGCATACAATTAAATTAGTAATTACACTATTTACAAAATACACATCCAGTACAGTCACAGTTTTGAAATTGCAGCCATGTGAAAGTATTAAAGGTGGAAGTATATATTGCACAAACGTAGGTGTTATAATTCAGCCTAATGGCAAATACAGAGCACAGTATCTGCTTTTTCAGTGTATTAGGTCGGTTTTATGTATATGTGTGTCTCTGTTAAGAATTACACATTTTGTTATGCTCACTCTGCTAGTGAGCCTCAAAATATGATATATTTACCTTTTGTAGAATATTATTTTAATGGTGTACTTTTATTTTATTAGTAATTACAACCATAATTCAATAAGGTTTCTGGTAGCACACATTTGTTTTACGGCACTTTTTATGGTAAAAAAGGTTCATAATCAATGAAAATGTATTATTATTACAACAATTTTACAATTATTACATATTTATAACTCTAAATCTAAAATACATTCTTCACCCGATCCAAATCTAGAATAATAGAAATGCTTAAGGGCATGTTTTCTTGTTACATATAGACCATAGAGACCAAGCTTTTGACTGAAGGTAGAAATGGCATTCATTATACATGCTCAAGAGGAGGATAATCACAGCCGCAGAGACTGCAAAGAGTATTACTATGGATCCAGGACTATATATACGTATATAATTGACTTGGCAACAGTGACATACGCGTTATATTGCTGCCGATGCACAGAAGCACATTTTTCATAGAACAAAAGCTCACGTAATAGAGCATGAATGATTTCCCTACATGAAATATAATTGTTTAACCATTTCATTTGTAGCCTGTTGAAAATCAAGAAAAATCTAAATGTTATCTGCCCATCTGTAATTTTGGTGACTAGCGAACCACAATGTTATGCTAATTACTTTCAACAGTGAGCTGGCTGAAGAGTGTGGCAGTTGGGAGAATGTCTTGTATTCATCCTGATAATTACATTCACAATAATTAGAACAACCTCAAATTGTTATGGTTGACTTCATATTAAGAAACTCAACTTAGAGACTCAGAAGTAGCTATTCAAACTTCGATCAACACAAGTAATTCTACATGCTGCATTTATAAAAACGGAAGAAATGATTTCCAGGTGATTGAAGCGTGACTGTATGTTCTTTCAGCTGCTGTAACTGTGCTCTCAGCAGCTGCCATCAGACATTAGCTGTTCACTGAACCGTGGCTCTGATTACACAGTGGTTAACCCAATAATCACTAATTGAGCGTTGATTGTGCGAAGCCTCTTTAGGCCAATTTCGATGCGGATTGTTACTTTGACTTTTTCTATTATTTCTGAGCTAATCACTGATTGGGTGGATTAGGGACCTGCTGTGCTGATCCCTCTCTCTCTTTCTGCCTCCAGGACTCTGAGATTTTGAACACGGCGGTGCTGACCGGGAAGACAGTGGCTGTGCCAGTGAAGGTGGTGACCGTTGGAATAGACGCTTCTGTTACTGACATCTCGGAAGCAGTCAAGTGTAGCTCTACAGACGAAGATGTGGTCAAGGTCAGTACGATGAACTGTTGAAAAGAACAAATCTTTGTACACTTTCATCTAACTCTTTGTATGAAGATTCTACCATAGAACAACTTAAGTTGGAATTTAGAAAGCTGAGGTGGACAACATGGTGTATTGATCAAAGCAATAATTACAACTAAGTGCAATTGAAAGAGGTTAAGTGATCAAGACATGACATACATGGACTTCCACTTTCGTTCAACTCAAACATAACAACAGACTAAAGTGTAATACTTTGTAGAACAATGAGGAGACTTTCCCCCTAATGTATGCGATTAACAAACATCATTTATTGTTGAATCCTTTATGCAATGGTTTTAATGGCAAATGGAAATTATCTGCCACTAATGGGAACGCAGGTTAATCAGAATTTTCTTTTGCATATTTTCTAGACATTTTGTCAAAATGTGTACATATTAAATGTAATGGATCCATAATAAATGTCTTAAAATACTGATAAATACACTCATTTTAACACAATAGACTGTTGGTAGTTTGCAGGTCAATCTTGTTTATTAGACCATTTTAATTGCATTAATAACTTAATATCAAATCATACTGAAAAAATGTAAGATACAAAGGCTTTAATGTGTCACGGCGTAGATATGGAAATGAAAATATTAAGTCCTCCAACCAACAATGCAACATAGTTATATAAGACATACAACAATAAAACATTACAAATAAAATAGTGCAAGAAGAAACAAAGAAGATTATAGTGCAATTATGTTGCAGACCAATGTGAAAGTGATGAAGTAATATACATGTAAGAAAAATAAATAATGACAATTAGACAAATAATGCAGAGAATGTTATACACGAGCAGAATGTAAAATGAAATTACAGTGATAACTATTTGAGAAATAAATTGCAAGATGCAAACAGATGAATGCTTTATGGAGGCACTTTACAGAGTTCAAGTGTTAAATAGTGTATGTATAAAATGTTTGTGCCTTAATGACTGACTCTAGGCAGGTATTTGTTTACAGACTGCATTAGAGCTTATGAAAGCAATACTGTGAGTATAAATAATGCGACAGATGAGAAGATTTTCTATGTTTAGCACATCTATATAAATCCTTCAGATAAACAAACACCAGCAGGCAACATGAAAGTGTGTGTTTGATATACAGTGACTGCTGACAGGTTGTTCACGATTTCCTTTATTTTTAGAGCCCCTTACAACCCTAGGGCACAAGGCACAAAAGAGTAAAAAGTGACTACAGTGTTATAAAGTTGAGCCTTCGTATCACTAACTTTGCACTTCAACAGAATCCCAATGACTTATTGGTTATCTACAGATTGCCCGGGGAAAAAACTAAGAGAAAATCACATCCTGTCTGTAATGTGTTTCCAATCCTAAGTGACTGAGATCTTACTGTGCTATGGTTTACCTTGAATTTTGTGCTTCCTCGTCACACCTCAAAAAGATACTAGAATGCCGCATATCAAACTCAAGTAATGTACAGTTATAAAAACAAATCCTATATATTTCCCCACACTGATCCACTTCATCATGTTTGATGCGTTAAGTTATGGTTGGCTCAGGGATTCTTAGAGGGAAATAAATTGCAAATCAATGAAGTTAGAAAAACAATAGCTCTGTTGCTGAGATCTCTGCTGAAGGTCAGAGCCTCATCCTGCTCACCTCTGCTCATCTCTCTTATCATAGCCTGCGATCATGTATGTAAACATGACTAATTTATCTAATTCTGACCTGGGGAATAAGCGAGAAGTAAACGCAGAGTGACATTAAACTTGAATAATGAATCACTGTGCATATTAAATTATGCTTACTCTCACTTGTGGCCCTATAATTACAGTGAATTTAAAAAAAAAAAAACAAGTTGCTTTTTCTTTAAACCACGTTTAATATTAGTCTTGCTAAAACAAATTGTATCTGACAAGTTTAGGCTGAAAGAAAGCGCTGCCTCCATTATTTTTTTTATGTTGCTTTTTTTGCATATAGAGTTTTCACAGTTCAGTTTAGCACCAGGCTCACTGTTTGGACTGTGATGGCTGTGGATGTGGGTGGGTATATCCGGTGTACATCTACTGTACCACCTTGTTAGAGTTCATCATGTTGCAGCTGCATACAGTGGGGACATTGCCAAAGACTTGAAGCAGCTCAAATCAGGGTTTCCGCTAGGATTTTTTCTCGCCGGTCAAATGTCCGGGCAGAATTTATTTTACCGGACACATTTGAAAATTACCGGTCATATTTCAATAATAATAATAAGAGTTGTGTAGCAGAGTTTTTATATTGCTTCAGTTTATAATCGTAACAGATCGAAAAATTCAGATTCATTTTTCAATAAATTATTCCACAAACAACAAACAACATAATTATTACATTCAAACAAACTACTTGTAGTAGATAACGTACATTATTCAAAAGTTTACATTAACTTTGAATAATAACACGGGAGAAACGGATCCTCTCTTTTCCCCTCTCCCTCCCTCTCTCTCTGACAGCCCGTCAGTTTCTCATGCAGCTCCTGCAGCTCGCTAAACAAAGGGCGGGGCTTCAGGTGATTATGCAGAGCTGCGTGTCTCGGTCAGACTCAGCAGCTGATCTGATCTCTCTCGCGTGTCCGGTTATACTTCACTCGCGTTTATGTCCATATCGATCAGATCCAGCTCTCCTGATCGGCCTTTATATAGAGCACCGATCAAACTATTAAGAGTGAATATCGGCCGATAATGACCGGCGGCCGATCTATCGGAGCCTCCCTAATTATTACCAGACATTTTGACCGGCGGGTTTTGAATTTACCGGTTTTTAATAAATTGTACCAGCTAAAAACCGGTAATTACCGGCTAACGGAAACCCTGGCTCAAATGTATTTGAACAAACAATGGATCACATGTAAGTGAAAGTGGTTGTCTGTAGTGCAACAAACCTTACCCGACTGTTGTTGTTTTGTTGTTTTCAGTGGCAAAGCTCTTAAAACCCACTGTCTGCCTCCCACCCGGCTCAAAACAACAACAGACAAAGTTTGCAACTAGCTAACTAGCTCGACAACAAAACATTTTCAAATGATGCATCTTTCAGCAGTATGCAGCTGATTAAAGTGCTTATCAGGTCAAGGACATGAAGCAGCATTTTAAATATACAATATTTGTATATTTTTCGTTTTAAATTTCTTGACTGTAATACTCACTACCATATCAAAAAGGAGGAGGAATGTGTTTTTTTCCTCCCTATTTGTTCACCAGTGCTTCATAACTAATTTTTTTAGAAAGAAGCACATGATGTTTAGGAAAATAGCTTTTTGGCTCCAAGGATTTTTTATAGAAAAATCTGAACAAATTGTTCTTCTCCTTGTTAGACATGAACTCTACTTACTCAAGGTCGATGAGAGGGCCCTTCTTACCACTGCCTACACAGAACAAGTCTATTAGAATATGCATACACTTTCCCCTTGCATTGAAGTGAGTGCTCTAGCTTATGCAGAGGAGCCTGAGCAGCTTAATTGCTTCTGTCAAGCTGACTCTGTATACAAGCCAGAGACATGCACAACCCACCTTCATGCTCCCCACTCCCATCGCTCATATCTGCCGTGGATTGTATCTGTCTGGTGAGTTGTTAATTTCCTGGGCTAGATCCAGAGACAGCCTTAATGTCCTCTGTAAGTATTCTCCCGTTAGCTGCCTAATGTCTCTGATTAATGTGGTAGTGGATCCTCCTGGACGTTTATGATACTTTGTGAATCAGGATGACCGAGAGTGTGTAATCCACAGAGACAGTGCCCCCCTTGGTCTGCCACAACACACATCCTTGTGGGACGTTGTAAGAGGTTAAGGGGACTGTCTTTTTAAGTTAAAATGTTTACTTGGATGTGTGTCAGTCGATGATACAGCACAGCAGGAGGGTGTACGCATGTCAGTGTAATGTGTCGGGATGGCTTGATGTCAGCTGCCATGTTTGCTTAAATAGTTTCCGCTTAGATTGTTGGGAGTAGATCAAAGAAATACCATCAGGCAGTTAATTTGCCTGTCATGAGACATACTGTAGCAGACATGTGTGTTAATAAGTCCCAGAGTCATTAACATGTTCTTTCCTCAAATAAAAATAAACTGTATTCTTATAGCTTTCAGAATCAGAATACCTTTATTCGTCCCACAGAGGTGAAATGTACCTTGTTACAGCATATGTTAAAGGTGGGGTATGTAATTTATTTCAGAAACACTTTTCGTTATATTCCATGGAATGCTCTTAACATCCCGATAGCAATGAATATATTAAATGCTTTGACAATAAATACAAAACAACATTTCATCTGTGGAAGCCATAGTACTGTAAAAAGCACGACCAATCATTTTACCCGGCCCGGCTAAAATAACTGGATGGCCTACCTGCCTGTCAGCCTTCCATCTGTGCACAAACTGTATTTTCAAATTCTAGCGCACTCGAGCCGGTTTCTCCAAAATTACCTACCCCACCTTTAAGATAGAGAGAAAATAAAACACTATTAGAAAGGGTATGCAAAAAAAAGGCTATTTCAATTTACAAGTAACATCCCTAATGCATTTCCAATTAACTGATTGCACGCACTTGTTATTGCACAGCATGGTGTCTGTGTTTGTTTTGTTTTTGTGTTTCTACATCATTGCACGTTGATGTCATTTCACAACCATTGCATCTGCTAAGTAAAATACATCTGATAGGATAAACGCATTTGTCAGGAGCATCCATTTTATCGATCAGCTATATATCACTTTTGGTTCTGTTCATGAGCCTCACATGGAGCCCAGTCAGGTGGTGTCTAGCAAGCAAGTTAATGCTCGTGCGGGCAGGTTGCACGGCCCCGACTTGTGAGAGAAGTCTGAGATGAAACGGGCTGTCAAAAGCACTTCTGTATCAGCCGACTGAGTGCATCGAGAGAGAAAGAGCTGAACAATGAGGGCTGATAAGGAGCAGGAACTTCTCTGACATCTTTATCAGTTCAAACACACACTCTCACACTGGGAGCACTGACGGAGCCCAATCGGCTTCATGACTGAGCGTAGCCAGGGGAGCACCACTGCCCTTGTAAAAAATGTCAAAAGCTTTATTAAGCAACTCTGTCTGACCCTGTTACATTGTAGTGTTGTACGGCGTCAGTGCACGAGCAAGGTACTGCTGTTTTCTCTGTATTCTTTAATTATTGTAGTAACATAAAGCATGTATCCACTCATACTGTGTGCATCCACTTGAGAAGTCAGGGCTTTTGCAGTCCAAGTTCTCTGATGGTTGGCTGTAGCCTTGGAGGATCCCCTGCAGCACGCTTTTTATTTCCTCACAGGGGTAGATTCTTAACTGGTGTTCAGACATAAAGTCAACTGCTTGCTATTGTCTTGAAAACCTTTTTGTCTGAAACCAGAGCCCAGTCTGCTCTTATTGGTTAGCTGGCTGGCTCTGTTGTGATTGGTCAACCGTTTAGATATGTTCCGCCCCTCATCCTATCATGTACAATGTGTTGGAGCACTACCCAGTAGAAGCACAACAGGTACATAGTGATGTCACTATGTTATGGAAGTAAACAAAGGAGTCCAGTCGAGGTGTTTGAGGCAGAGGGGAAGTGTATGGGAGAGACATTCCCTTTGGTGTGAACTTTTATAGGATTTGAACCTGTGCAGATAATTTACATGCACGAAAAACACACCACAGGAAAGGGTAAACTCCAAAAAGCATAATATTGCCTCTTTAAAAAAGCATTTTTGCTAAGAAATATGTTTCAGCTAAAATAGCTCTCTCTCTCTGCATAAATGTAATGTAGGAGGTGAGAAATACTGGTCTCAAAAGACAATGTGCTTTTACTGGTAATGTAATTGGTGCAAATTTATATTTTTGACTGCAGACACCAGAAATCGTTCATCATATGAGTTTAATTCCAACAGCCACACAGGCAGTTAACAAGCTGCATGTCCGACGTTGTTAGCTGTTAAGTCCTATCTTCAATCTCGCACTCCCTAGATTTAAAAGCTTTAAAGGCTTTTTTTGTCATAAGCAATATACTGTAGCTAAAGCTTCCTCCAACAAAACATGTGATAAACATAAGACATAAAAAGAAACACGGAAGTAAAATAGTCCAATAAAGTAGTGCAAGTGGCACAATGGTGCAAGATTAAATCTATGTAGGCCTATATATAAAAAAAGAATAAGATACATTTCTCTTTGAATCTCTCTTTGGTTGAAATCCATATAACATGATGTTAGCTTACTACAGTTTGCATCAAACAATGTCAGTGATGACAATTTATTTGATGACTGTTTTGATTTAGCCAACGCTATATTTGTGTCCAACCACACACTGGTTTTTAGGACAGAGTATAAAATCAGTGAAGCACATATTCAAATATCGGATTTAATGTAAACCAAGAAGCAAAATGTATCTTCCACAGAGAGTGTTGTGTTGGCTTCACTCTGTAGATGCTGTGAAATAGAGAGAGCTCAAACCAAGCTAAGGACTCTGTCTGTCTCCAGAATGTGGTCACAGAGGATATCCCGCTGCGGCTTTGTGATTTATGGCTGTTTATGGTTTTATCTCTCTGTGGAAGAATAACTTGGAAGTAGAAAAAAAAAAGATATTTCCCCAACCATATAATTCCATCTAGTTTGAGCCATAGTAGCCTGCTATATGATGAGATAAATAGGATTGACAAATTGCCCAGAAAAAAGGAATCTCTGTTTAAGACATACTGATTAATAGCCTCTGAGTGTGTGCTGGATAGCCGTCTTGATATCCTCTTCTTCTTTTTTTTGGTGTATTTGCGTATTTTATGCATTTGTAGAGCTAGCATGGCATTGCATTTAAAAAAGACAGAGAACGAAAGAAGCTTCGGGGGGGGATGGGTTCACACGGAGTGAGCCAAAGCAACAAGGAGTTGTGTCCTTCGAAAAAGAAAAAATGTGGCCTGCTGATAACTTTTCTTTTTAAAGCAATTTATGACATGGTGCCTTTGAGTCAGGTCATTTTATCAAGAGATATTTGCTGTCCTCTTTCTACTTTCCATCTGTTGGTTCTTCTTTTAGCTTTTGGCAAAAATATAATAGAACAGCAGACCATGATCTGTTTTCCCTAAGGTTCAAAGAAGTCCTCGTTACTCCCTCCCTTCTTTTCCTGAGTGTGGAACACATTCAGGACCTTTCATCTTGTTCAAAGTAGTTGCAGGAATACTACATCAGTGGGGAGCTCAGAAGTGTAAACCTTATAATCAACTTGGAGAGCCTGGGCCACAGTGAACGCTTTATGGTATATTGCACTCTGTAATTCAATGTGTAGAAACCGTCAGAAGACTCAATTTAAATGTCGTCTCTGTTAATCTCTCCCTCTCCTCTCATGCAGGTGTCGGACAGGTGCGACTATGTTTTTGTTAACGGCAAGGAGATGAAGGGCAAGGTGAAGATGATGGTGAACTTCACCTACGGATACCTGAGCTCTCAACTGGAGCTCAATGTGTGGATCCCTCGACTCCCCCTCCAGATTGAAGTGTCAGACACCGAGCTGAGCCAGATCAAAGGGTGGAGAGTACCTGTCATGGCCACCAGTCAGAGGTAAAGTACTGCATGAATCTGTCAGCTACAGGGCCGTGTATGTGTCATAAGTCACACGTGCAAGTCCCAAGCAGGACTCCTTTCCCAACACTCAGGTCCCAAGCAAGTCCCACGTTACTGGGTTGACAATACAGCAAGTCAAAAACAGCCACTACTATTAGTCGAGCAAGTAACAAGTCAAGTCATAGAATTCTGATGATCGACCCCAATATAACTCATCCTGAATAGATGCCAAATATTCCTTAATGGACGTCTGTGTTGTCCTCTGCTGCACTGTAATTGGTTGTCAGGTTTGCGCGATTTGCACCAATTCCTTTTTTAAAAAACGTTTTAATATCTAGAAAGATATACTGTTGATTAAATATTTTAAACAGTCATTATAGTCACTTTCAGCCTTTTGTCAATATCAGTATAGCACATGTATGACTTAGTTATAGTTTTGTGACTCAGAAGTCTGTGATGAAGAAAATGTTCTCTGAACAAGATTAAACCAGAGAATCATAGATAATTGGTATCCATGGTTTATTGGGCAGATTCAACTGCAGGTTGTCTCAGTCTTCTCTGCATTTTTTAGAATAACAATTCAACATTTTGCAAAGGGCTAATTTTCTCAACTTTTCTTTTGTGTCTGTTGTGTAATTCCAGCAAAATGTACAATTATCCAATGAAATGGCAAATGCCATGCCCCCAATCTTAGTTTGAGTGGATCCGAGCTATATCTATAAATGCCCTTTCTTATGTATTTAATAGCATTGTGCAAGGCAACATAGATGCTCTCAATATGAGCCATTTTTCTGCTTTTTCAGCAGCATTAGCTTCATTTAAGGGGGTAACGAGTGGCCTTTATTTCAGGTGATGTATTCGATTTCAATCATGGCAGCCTTAGATAAGATCATTATGAGAAGTGTGACTAAACTCCACTCCACCTGTCCCTTCCTGACTCCAGTCCTGCTGACAGTTCTTGGCTGATAACAAAATGGCTGACCTGTGCAATACAGCTTGTCATTAGACCGACTTAAGGTGTCCTGCCATTTGCCTCTTAGTCGTCAGTAGAACAGAACATTATTAGAGCTGCATGGAGGTCAGACCTCTCCCCCGGGGGCCTCATCACTAACAGCACCTCTGCCAACATCTCTGTGCAGCGCTTCTCTGCAACTGTTGAAATCCATCAATTGAGAGAGCAGCTATTGGCCTACCTGCAGTAATTACTTCTGGAAAAGCGTTGAGGCTGTTCCTGGACTTGGAGTCATCCCACGCACCAGTGTGGCTGCTCTAATTATCCTGGCTCCCCTCTTATTTTGAGTGACAGGGGTACAGCATTCGACTAATGCCATGGCATGTTGCGGATGTTGCTTTCCCAGCTCTGCTCTGGTACGCCTTTATCAGCCGAGACAGGCCAGTTGTGTTGTCATTGTTGACGCCAGAACCACTGCTGATGGGAAGCAGAGAGCATTGTTTCTCCCTGTCTTCAACCCGCCTTTGTTTATCTGGGGATAACAGGCGTGACCTTGCACAGTAGCACTATGCCTGTTGGTGAGAAATGGCACTGCTCCACTGTCCATAAGCCCACAAGGAACTGAGCAGCAATACAAAGTGGTGGGACCTTTGTCTATCAGCCAGCTGGCAAGTCGTGGCCACATTTGGGGGTGAGAGAGAAATGAGAAATAAAGAGACATCCGGCAAAGGTTTGATAGTTGCAAAAGCACTACTCACACGGTTTTTGACTGGCACTTCCTGTATGGCTCACCTCTTCCTTTCCCTAAGCCCTGTCAGAGCAGGGACAAGATAAGCCTTCGCAGACAGCAATCCTAAATGTAGGCGTAGCACTCAGGCTTGAACCACTCCTTTATCATGTCTTTAAAGACATGTTTACCCATAGGGCTTTTAAAAATCTCCTCAATACTCATTTTGATGTTGTTTTTATACTGGGTTGGCTTTTACTGTGCGTACTGAGTGTTGTCTTTCTTAACCAACTTGCAGTTGAATTCCGTACAATAATATCCACACAATAAAAGTAAACAATCAAACTTTGTCAGATAGAGCTGCATCTGTGTATATATAGTAGCAGAACTGTCTATTTCCGTCCAAATGACCTTCGTCATGTTATTGTAGCAAAAATAATAAAATAAATAACAAATACAGCACTCGATCTGTGGGGCACAACACAAATAAGAATGACACACACTCCAATAAACAGCATCTCCTCTGAAGTCAAAATTGGGCTTGAAAGTAAATGAAGCAGAGAGAAAAATTGCTTTGTGAAGCAGGTTGTTCTCCGAGTGTGATTTGTTTATTAGATTAACCTTAGATTAGATTTTGAGATGGCTGCACAAGCAGTGGCATATCAGATTTATAGTGGAGCTAAAACAGTTGGACTTCACTATCAGCTTGTTTACTCTTGAATCCATTACATCTGACTAATACCTGCATCTAAAAAGATCCCTATATACTGTTTAGATGCTGATTCGGTCAATGTGTCAGTACAACATCCTTCAACAGCAGTGCCATTTGTCAACTCATTGCATGTTAAGGTCAAATAACAGATTCTATTTTCACTCAAAACACGATCCAAAAGGATTTAACCAAAGCAGTCAGCGGTGAGAAACTTTCAATTACTGGCGTTGAAATAATTGGAAAATGGTTTTCTCCTCTACTTATCTTATGTAAATAATAGGAGAGTGAGTGGAAAACAGGAATTCATAAAAGGCGAAGGGAATTGTAAGAGAAAAATCCGATGCTGAATGAATATTTTGATCACAAATTCATTAATCACAAAGCTTGTTAGTCATTTGGAATTACAAAATGTATCTGATAAAGTGCCACATTTCATGCAGATGGGAGTTATTTTGTTTGTATGTGAATTTTAAGGTTTGCCTTTTAATAGTCAGTGAATCACTCTAAGGTAAGACAAGGAAGAAGCTCCTTGTATTTGATTACAAATATTATATCCGAGAAGGACTCAAATAACCTCGTCCACCCCTTGGAATTCAATGTAGTTGTTCACTTATGTGTGTGTAAATGACACAACAATCATAAGTGGAGGCGTTAGTATTCATAAATATGCAGTAAATGTGTCATGTAGGGCCTGCTTAGGCACAACTGCTCTGTTATTTCAATCTGCTTTTGGAAGGGTTTCTAAAATAGTGCAAAAATGTTTTAACTCTTTAACACAATCTGGGGAGGTGTGCTCAGACAGCGATTGTTGGCAGAGATAAGATGGTTAACGTGTTTTTGTTTTTATCTTTTCCTGAAGTAGTGGACAGATTTTGAATGGGTTTTGCATTGTAGGGAATTGTCAATGGTATCAATTGGATTGGACTGTCCCTGTTTTTATAATTCCTGTAGTGTAAAAGGAACCGCGATGGAATATTGAGCAGAAACCAACGTGCTTGCAGCTTCATTTCAGACTAACAAGAAAACATTATTTTCAGATCACACTGCAAAATATATGAGTCGTCTCCTTAGCAATGACTTCATACACAGTTATTTTTGTTGGTATTTCTATGCAAAACATAGCACACACAAGTGCAACCAGATGAAAACAACATGCAGTCCACCGCAATGTTTTTTGTCTGGCTGCTCTGAAATATTTTTGTATGAAAGTGTGTGGTTCTTGTCTGGTGTATGCATTCTTACATTTTTTTAAACATGAAAAGTTGCATACAGCATATGAATCACAGTCTGCTGACTAAATCTGACTTAACCACACCCACACAGTCCCGATGAAGGAGATTGTCTGCATTTTTGAGTCTTACATTTCTTATTTTCCTTGAACTTGACTTTAGCTTTTTAGTCATGAATATTTGATATATAGAAATACTGTAGGAGCCACATATGAAGCCATTTATGTGTTTGTTACGATACATGTTTTTTGAGTCACTATAGGTCGGTGGGCGTGTCATTGGATTTGTGTGGTGACGTTTGTGCTTATATTCGGTTGCTTTTACCTGCGCACTTTGTAATAGATGGGGGAGTGAGCTAGAGAAGGACAATTTTTGTTGACCGCACGCATACAAGGATATACGTATATGGAATATTGCATTTTTGCTTTGGAAATAAAAGGTCAAACGTATACTGTGTTGGAAAGACTGAGTTTTTGCGCGTCCACAGTGTTTTTTCTTTTGTTTAGTCCCTCGCGGCACTTTGTTTAAGATTACTGCCGCAATAAATACTTTTATGTGAATATGGTGGGATTAAATAGAACAAGACACAACAAAGAGAGAGCAAATAGTCAGAAAAGCTAAAAGAACGTTCTGTGTTTTGATACCACTGTTCAAATTCAAAGCCTCACAGATCAACAAACATCACAGATGTTTGTAAAACCTATTTAGGGTATGTGTTCACTTGTTGAATCCTGAATGAAAATGTTTTCTAAAAATGATCCCACAATTTCCACAGTTTAGTCATTTCCTCTGTGAATGGCTGTCATTCAGTTGCAGCTGAAATGGCTGCTGAAAGGGAAGGTTTTAAGCTCCAAATCTCCAAATCTCCAAATCTCACTGTGCTCTGGGGTTTTTCTCTGGAGCGTGCAGCTAGCATCTTGATTTCCACGGCTTTATGTGCAGTCAGATTTCTCCTGGGATTCGCAAAGAAAAGAGACAAGCCGAGCGGATAATCGTGGTAAAAAAACAGTTTAAAAGATTAATTAATTTACTTCTCCCCTTTATCAAGATGGCTTGATGGTGTGTACGTGTGTGAGAGAGACAATGGGAATCTACAGTGGCGTATATGATTAGCAGTTTTGTTTACAAAGCACTTTCCTGTTTAAAAATGTCCAAACCGTGCCCCAGTGTAAGACTGAAAAGCTGTAACAGCATGTATTCTCCCAGATCAACCATTCAAACATTCAACATCTCAAGGTGCTTCATCTCTTGGCTGTTGAAGAAAAATAACATTGAAACAAATATGGACAGAGTCTAATGATAGTGCAGCTTTATAGTAACCATTTAAAGCCAGTTTGTCATACTGCAATTTTCCTGGTGAGAAAGAGCTGAGCCTCTGTTGGCAATTGTTTGTTACCTAAAGCAATAAAATGTGATTTGCTAGCAAAAAAAGCAATGAGAGATATTTAGGGCTATTAAGGAAAGCAGTAAGGGGACGTGTGCACATTCACAACCCAGACCAGGTGCTCTGAAATGGTGAAGGAGGGACGTAAGAAGAAAAAATGAGAGCCATACGCTGGATTTATCCTCTTTCCACGGTTTAATCATCCTAACGTTATCTTCGTTAGGTAAACATCCCTGTGTGAGACTGATGTGTGTGTGAACGTTTGTCAGAGTTTAGTTTATCTAAACGCTGCTGAAAATACCACAAACCAATCCAGAAGACATAGCAGATGTTTTCTCTTTTCATCTAATAGGTATAATTAGCAAACAGTATACACATATGCCACAATTATTTTAGATTAGGCCTTTTACATATCATTATGTAATAAATGTGATACAGCTTTAACTCGTGCACTTTCTGCAATGTTTTAATTAAAGTAGCATGCATAATTAACGAGACTAAGAGTATTCAGCCATAGCAGGCCTATTGTACTCCATGTTTACTTGTTTATTGAGTTGAGCGTGTTAACATGATGTACTTTGATAATTAGCACTTAAAACAAAGTACAGCCTTTGTGGATGTCATTACTTTTGCATGTATTTATTAATACAAGAAAGTAATGGACAGTAGTGCTAGTCAGATGATCACAAATATTGTTCTGATTCATCATCTGGGGACCATGAATGTCTACACCACATGCCATGCCAACTGATTCAATATCTACCATATTACTATTCTCTATTAATGTAGTGGGCCAATCAACATTTATATTCCTAGAGCTACGCCACAAGCATGGCTGCAACAACGTTTTCAGTTGCTACCAGTTTGCACATCTGTTTCTTTTATTATTTCTTACTAGGTCCACACAGGACAGCGAGGACGAGGATGATGAGGACAGACGTGGACGAAGCTGCACTCTTCAGTACCAGCACGCCATTGTCAGGGTCCTGACACATTTTGTGGCTGAGTCAGCAGATCCCCGAGGCCAGACCAGCTTCATGCTGGGCACTGATTGGCAGGTGGACATCACAGAGCTGGTGTGGGACTTCCTGAAGGTGGAGGACCCCCAAATTGCAAAGATACTGGACAGGAGGATACTGGTGGGGCTGAACATGGGGATGACCACTATCCAGGTAGGCCAGGTGTTGTGAACTGCACAAAGTAGTTCATTAATTAATTAATGTAGCATTTAGAAATAATGTTAGGATCTTATTTTCAAAGTCTTGGATATTCTTCCTTTTAGTATTGACACAACTGTATTCAACCTCCAGCACCCAAAAGCTCAAATGAAGCCGATATGACAGTTGCTCAATCAGAAAGGTTGTACAAAAACCCTCAAACTTATATTTAATACCTGAACTGTACATTTATCTTACTAAACATATTGCCGTTTCACTTTTACCTTTTGTACTTCTTTTAGTTCAATCACGCACATTTGATTGAGTTAAAAGTTTCATAATTGATAGAAATTATGGCAAAATAAATCAAAAAAAGACCAACGTTTTAATTAACCTAAACTTTTCTTTAATTAAACAGTGGTTGCTAAACATTCATGCCTAAACATATAAGATAGTTAGTAGCCTTGGCATCATGCTTTGTGGCATTGTTATGTTGCAGGTGCTAGGAAGCGCTGGCAATTTAGTTTTCCACTTGTGCTGGTGTTTCTCAAATAAAAAATAAAAAGATTTCCCATGAACCCGTTGCTTCCTGTCTCAGAGGTCTACCTAGCCTTGTGAAAAGACAGACAAGGATCCGGAATCAGCTCTTACTAACGGTGAATATAAATTCATTCAATCAACCAACTGCCATCGCGGTAATCTCTTAAAGCTTCAGTTACATGTGTGCTGAGAGATCAGTGCCTGCTTCTTATTATACAGATTCCTCCCAAAGTCTGCTGGTGTAAAACGCAGTGCAGAGGGCCTTAGAGGCTGCCAGAGATCTTGGCAAAGGTCTGTGTTAGTAATAACAGAATATAATGAGAAGATTATTCCAATATCTCAATTTGAATATGCTAATTATTCATCAAATCAGGAACATTCTTATCATTTGAATTATGTCATTTAAAGGAACAAAATGTCTGTCTGTCTGCCTGTCTGTCTCTGTCTGTCTGTCTGTCTGTCTGTCTGTCTGTCTGTCTGTCTGTCTGTCTGTCTGTCTGTCTGTCTGTCTGTCTGTCTGTCTGTCTGTCTGTCTGTCTGTCTGTCTGTCTGTCTGTCTGTCTGTCTGTCTGTCTGTCTGTCTGTCTGTCTGTCTGTCTGTCTCTCTGTCTGTCTGTCTGTCTGTCTGTCTGTCTCTGTCTGTCTGTCTGTCTGTCTGTCTGTCTGTCTGTCTGTCTGTCTGTCTGTCTGTCTGTCTGTCTGTCTGTCTGTCTGTGCGCAGACGAGTTTTCACCTTTGTGGGAAAGCTTCAACGTTTTCACAAAACAAGCACGAACTGGCAAACATGAGCAGCACTAAAGTCTGCCAGCTGTGTCTACCAGTGCCACGCGCCACAAAGGCTGGTGCACGAGGAGAAGTGTCACATAACATCTGCAGCATTTATCATTAAATAACGTTAGACTTCCTTCTTCTGTACTGGGGTGAAAGTGTGCTTCTCCTCTGGATATGAATCAAAGGGAAAGGATTCTTACCTATAGGAAGTATCGGGGTTATATGGCAGCCAAGCGTTTGTTTGATCTATACAGCCTGAGTAAAGAGTTAAAATAAAAAGTGGGTTGTGCATATTGCGCAGGGGCTTGTGAGCTTTTTATGTCAGATGAAACACATCGGAAGATATTTTGTTAAATCACCTATAACTCGTGGTAATCTGCTTTTTTCATGTTTGTGACATCCTCACTGCTGAGTGCTCATTGATGGGACTTTTTTACATTCCTGTCAGGAACGCCTTGTCAATCAAGCAGTGTGACCAGTAGGGACTAACTTCTGGTGGATTTCCTGTTTATGAAGTTTCTATAGTACTCTTTTTCTCTTTTTAGCCACGGTTGCTGTCGCGGCTAATTTCTCCAGGGAAAGACCCTCACAACCCTCGGTGTTTAGAGCAGGAAATGAAAAGTCTTTCATGAACAGGCTATACAATAGCTTCAGTCACTATTGCAGAAAAACATAGCTGTAATTGATCATACCAGAACGTCACAGGTTATTGCTCGACAAACACATATTTGAGGGGATTGTTGTTGAAGAAAATTCTTCATCTTTTCCTTTGAAAATGTATTTACTGTCACAATGTAATCTATCATCTCTGTTTGTTTTCTTTCTTTCTTTTTTTGCTGCATTTTGCACATCCTAGGTGTTGTCTCCTCTATCCGACTCCATCCTGGCAGAGAAGACTGTCACAGTGGTGGATGACAAAGTGACCATCACAGAGTTGGGGGTCCAGCTGGTCACGGGCCTCTCTATGAGTCTGCAGCTCAGTACAGGAAGCAACAGAGCCATCCTGGCTACCACCACAACACAGGAGATTCTGCAGAGCCCCAAACAGGTCAGCACACATTTTACAAGAACAGCTGTAACAATTAGTAGATATTATTATAATCATGTCATCCATTTAATCTGCAACTTTTTTAATGTTACATTAATCATTCAGTCATTGTTGCTGGTTCCAGCTTTCCAAATGTGATGTTTTGCTGCTTTTCTTTGTCCTACTAACGATACGATCATAATTTATTGTCAAGTCGGATATTTTACTTGCCCAAAGACCCCTCAGGGCTGACTTGACCTGGGATTTAGTTCTGTAGTTTAGTTCTACTTAATAGTAAACTGACTATCAGTACATTTGGGGATTTTGGTCAAATAGAAAAACTAAATTATAATCATCTTCACATCACTTCAGGCTGCAGTTTTCACATTTTTATTTAGTTATTTAAAAGACAAATAATAATTGTATAAGACACGAAAGAAAGTGAAAAATATAAGCATCAAATGGAATATTTATTTTCTAGCCAATGCGGTTGAATACACAGTCTCTTATTTAATGCATAACAAAACAACCAGTAATTATTTGCAAACACAATTTAGCAAGATTGGATTAAGACAGAGAATGATGAATATTCTCTCCCAGCATTCATTTTATTGAATTATTCAAATGGTATATGAGCCTTTTGGTGAAAGAAAAACTTCTATATCTCTAGTAAAGCTAAAAAATGTAGATTCTGCAAACTTGATTACTGTCCCTTTCAAAACTAAAGATTTACTTCCAGATTTCATTTCACACTATCAGGTTTCCTGAATGAGCATTTTTCCAGTCAAAGAAAAAGCTGCGGATGTGCTTGTGTACACGTGCCTTTTTGTTTGTTCCACACCAGCTCTAACCCTCTTAACTACAAGGCCTAAAGCCGGAGTGTGACAGAATGTTTCCTTGGGCATCTAATAGAAACTGGAGATTAATCTGAAAGCATGCAAAGGCAACAGCACAGCTTCTGTACCAAAATATGACTTCACAGCACAAACATTCATATTATGTTTCTCTCGCTCATTTGCCCTGGCTACTCTCATTGTGGCTCCTTTGATCTGCCCATCAAGCCCTCTTACAAGTTCTCTGGATTGCTCTTTTAGCATCCCCCCTCTTCTTCCATGTGAGGAAGAATGGAAAGGCCATTTATCTATCCTATCTCTGTGCCCAAACTGTGAAGATAAGCAGGCAGCGCTGCACTGTTAGTCCGCTGGTCCTAGTAATTAGCGAGTGTTGACACTTACTGCTTGTGCACCATTAGGGGTTTGTCCTTCAGCAACATTAAAGGGCAAATTGTGCGTTTTCAGCAGCAGAAGGCCTCAAGATGTCTATGTATGGCAAATCCTCCTTCTAATGAACAATGTTTAATGTTACTGTTTGATCTTTTCCGCCTATCTTTTAATCTGAACCCCCCTTAGTTGGGAGGAAATAGCCGCTGAGATATTCGAACCACGCCATTTGGTGAGCTTAGAAAATGTTTTCCAAAATTAGAAATGTAATTCTCAGTTTAGAATACATTGATTTGTTTTTATAATAATTTCAGTGCTAATAAAGTATAAACAATTTGATCTGTTCCCGTAGGTTTCCATGATGTGAGGCTAGATGCTTTATTTTTGCACTATTATTTGCATTTTTTTTAAGTACAAAAGCACAACATGTTGTTTATGTGTCACTGACTATTTTCTCCCTTTCCCTCTCTCTCCCTGTTGTTTATGTGTTTGTGTGTGTGCTTACAGGAAGCCTTGATCAGCGCCTGGCTACAGTTTAGTGACGGCTCTGTGGCTCCTCTTGACCTGTATAATCCAGATTTTTTTGTCCTGACGGCCACATCCCTCGATGAAGAGATTGTGACAGTGCAGCAGAACCCCTCGTGGAAATGGCCTGTGATAGTGACGGAGGCGGAGGGCCAAGGCCTGCTGGTCAGGGTGGAAATGACTGTTTGCGAAACCTGTCAGAAGTTTAAGCGCCGCAGCATCCTGGCCGCGGGTAACTGTAACGTCAGAGTGAAGTTTGGTCGGAGTGACAGCGCGAGGGGAAGGGGCAGCGACTACAGCCCTGATGTAGACGATATGGAGAACAGAGGCAGGCTCTCCCCCTCCCAGGACGTGACCGGCCCTATCACACACTACTATGGCAGCTCCATCTCTGACATGGAGGATGGGGTGTTAAGGAGAGCCACCACCACTAGAAGTGCCATATTGCACAGACCAAACGGGGATAAACGTTCAGATGATCATAGCCAGAACATGCCAATTGACTTTGCTGACTTCCCTGCACAAGTGGACCTGCCCCGTGGCCGCAATATAGATGATGACCTTATTCAGACCGCTCGTGGACTTACAGATCTGGAGATCGGCATGTATGCCCTGCTGGGGGTCTTCTGCCTCGCCATCCTGGTTTTTCTCATCAACTGCATCTCCTATACGCTGAAATACCGCCACAAGGAGCTCTCGATTGAAGGCCAGGAGAACATGAACCATGCTCATGATTGGGTATGGCTTGGCAACGAGGCAGAGCTGCTCGAGAGCCAGATCAGCCTGTCGCCCCAGCAGGAGGAACAGACCTCTATGATAGACTCCAGCAGCGGGCTGGAGGAAGGAAGCCACCTGCTGAACGGGGGATCGGCCCAGAAGAACGTGCAGGGCCAAGTGCACCGGGGAGCAGATACAGGGTGCACAGTCAAGGACAGTAAAGGAGACTCCCCCACCACCAAGAGGAAGAGAGTCAAGTTCACCACGTTCACCACCATCCCCTCGGACAGTAGCTACCCCACTGTTAACACACTGACTGGGAGCCACTGCCAGGACATTAAGTGGGTGTGCCAAGATGTGGAGCTGGGAGACTCCAAGGAGTTGCGCAATTACATGGAAAGGTTAAGTGACAGTGCTTTAAAAGAGGTGGCATAATGAACTGCGTGCACTTGTAACAAACTCACCCTTATGCCTTTCAGAGGACAGTGGGTCTGGACTGAAACCGGAACCGGAAATTGACGTCAGAATCATCCCAAACTGCCAAAGGGTCATTATATTAAAGAGGATTGTGGTGATTCCACAAGTGACTGATGATGAATCATTTATGGAAAAAAAAAAGTCAATGAAAGAGGACGTCACGTGATTCTTTTGTTCCTTTGTTAATCAGATGATTAGCTTTTGATCGTTAATTTTAATACTACAGGGTTTAGATAGGATGAACCCAGGACTAGCAGCAACTACGACGTGTACAATTCAGACGACATGTAGATTTTAAAACAAACCGTAAGATGGCTAGATAGATGTTCCGGATGTGTGTGCACATTAAATGATTTTGGAAGTTTTGTAACATTTTGGATTTTAATTTCTTACGTCAGATCATTAATCTGTGGAAGAGTTCTGTAAAAGCCAAAGCAAGCGATGAGACATTTCTGCATGTAGATGAAAAAAAAACAAAGGCACAACTTTCTGGTTCATTCTCCTTAACACAGCAGAAAGCCTGTTCTGTACAGTCTCCAAAGCATTGTATTGTTGCTCTGTATCTTGTATTTTCATAACATTTAAGAAATACACAACAATATCAAGAGTGTGTATCAGCTTTTCTTGACCACAGCATCAAGTACTGAGGTCAGCCGAGGATTGTGGTGGATGAAAAGAAGCCAATTACACATTCATGTTTGTATAAAAAGTATTTCATGAGATGCAATTCACCAACAAGGCATTGTCATCTGCTCCCTTTAATGCTGGCCGGTGAAGAAAGGCAGTGGTCATTAATACTCTCATCTCGTCTATTAGAACTCGTGCCCTAACATGACAGCAGAGCATGAAGGGGTTTTTGAACTAAATTGCCGGACGACATGGTAATGTGACATTTCCCGCTGTCCACCCTCCAGTTTAAAGTTTACTGAGCTTTGAAGAAAATGCTAATTAAGGTCTTGTTAACCTCTCTCCCATAGCCTTCAGGAAAAGCATACTGATAAACTGTGTTATGGACAAACTGGGATGAAATGTGCACTCCATCTCTTGGGGATAGTGTGGATACAAAGAGGGATATTTAAAGGCACGGTGGGAAATGTGTTCTAACTGATAAAGGATATTTTATTATCCAGATAATTGCACAAATAATAATCATCTCTGAAAACTTGCTAAACAAAGGCAGTCGGCTGAAAAATTGCCTTTTGCTCAGTGAATGTTATTATCATCACAGTGGTGTTGGCTGATTGCGTTTTTTTGTGTTATTATTTTATATCAAGCAGAGAAATGTTCACATTATGTTAACTGTTGCTGCAGTGTGGATCAGATTGTTAATGACACTAGCTTGGAAGAAGGGATGCGAGATACTTAAGCAAATATTAGCACTACCTTGAGTGCAAAAAGGGGACGCCATTTAGAGCAACAGTCTGCACTGAAAACAGCCCCTCCGACTCTTGTATTAGTTTGAGTGGCTTTTCCACTTGTATTTAATTATTTCAAACAGCTTGTCTACTGATTCTCTTACTTCTGTGGTGCTGCAAATGATTCCCTGCTTGCTGAGCCACCAAATTATCACCCAACAAAAAATCAAGAAATAGATTTCAAATGGAAAAATAACAAGCCACGATAGCTAGTATAATTAAAGGAGTAGTTTTAAATGCTGAGAACTGGGCTTATTTACTGTTTGCTGTGTTAAAGATTGATACTCTTATTTCTTCACAATACATTTGAAGCTACAATTAGTACAGCAGACGGTTAGCTTATAGCATAAAGACAACATCTTGACTCTTCTTGAGGTGAAAATACTAGATTGTAGAAAAAAGATCCAAGGGTGTACATGGGGTTTTGTGCCAAACTATACTTGGTTGGCAACATAAGCTGCGTGAGTCTCAAGATATAGTATGTTAGTAGCCTACTAAGCTTCAGAGGTGCTGTTAACATATTACTGGTAATAAGCTGATCTACCATGGAATCTAAAACACTTTTAAAGTCTAGGAAAAGTAAAAAATTCGGATTCGGCTTAACTTTTTGACTTTAAATACTTTCTCGATATATCTTTAGTTTAACGTTTAAATCATTGTAAATGTAGCTTACATAGGCCTACACATTGATTCCATGATTTATTCACAGACACAATCAGGAAAAACTCCCCCTGCTCACTCATTTGTCTCAGTTTCTGCTGTCCTGATTTATTTTTCTCCGGTGCAGTCTGCCTTGTGGTTTTCCTGCTTCTGAAGCTCTATCCGTGGCTGCAGGGGATTAAAGCGAGATCATGTGCAGACTAGAGAGTGCTGTGTGCTGGGACCATGGCTGCTGTGCCCAGCCTGTGGACTGTGAAGGGCGAGGAGAGCCGGTGCAGATCCTGGGAGGGATTCAACTGTCAGCCACAAGGGGCGTGATTGATGGAGGGCCCCATGTAATTAAAACACCACTGCGACTCTCTCTCCGTGACCATCGTTGGTGGTTTCAGCCTCTTCAGGTATAGGGGCAGAACAGCGCAGCCCATTAAAGACCTGCTGTCTCCACCCCCTCGAGCCCCAGTTTTAGACAAGTGTTCACACCTGCTGGGATGTGGCACAGCAGATATAATGACTGTATTCACTTCCATTCTTAGAGCGTAACTCAACACTCATTTTCATTGGCCTTGATGTCTTGCCTTCTCTAAGAGTAAAAGTAAAAATCCTTCCCCAGGCCTCCATCTTAAATGGATTTTTAATTAAATTGATGATGTGAGACCAACAAACTCCCGCTAATGGTTGGTTCTGCTCCCTGTGGTCCTAATATGTCGGCTCCGTATTTGCAATTTCCAAATGATTATTCAGTGCTTGAGTTATGTTGCTTCCTTTTAATTCATTTCTAAATCAGTTCACAATGGTTCTACATCAACTAAAAACGCACAAACATGCTTTCTCCGTGGAACGATAGAGCAGCTGTCAAGGTCAGCTTGACTTTCCAGTCTCACCGATTTTGTACAGATTAAGCCACAGGGAACCAAAGACAACAGCAATCGTAAAACCCTTGTGCCAAATCTGTGTCTTGTAAACACCATCTCCCACTTAACAAGAGCAACAAGACTAATAACAGAGCACACACGCCCAGTTGTTCAAACATAGTAACCCCCTGTCGGATCTGATAGTTACAATTCATATTATATTGTCCAACCACAACATGTTATACTATTGTTGGTTGATTCAGAGTTTCTCAAAGGGTTGACCTACATTATTTGAGCAGATTTTCCTGTCTTTTCATTTGACAGTATATCAATTCAAGAATACCATCAGCCCTTATCCGTAATCCCAAATGAACTGTTCGTGGAGATCAACATTGATCCACAGAATTGAGGCAAATCACAATGAGAACATCAGCTTTGGATTTTTACAATGTGATATGAGTACAAACCTACCCAGTAAAAACATATGCACTATAAAAAGTATCAGCGATGACTCTTAAACCTAAAGACAAAAAAGAACTACAGAAGCCCTTGAGCAGCATGTGGTGAGTAACCAACCGTGTCATTTAGATATATCGGCCCAGGAGGAGAGCAGAGCACCGTGCTCAGGGGAGCGACATATCAGCCGGCACCCTGAGACAGGAAGTGGCATTTTTCTGCCTGCCGGAAAACAATAGAAGGTCAGGGGGCTGCAAAGATACGCCTAACACAAATGGTATTCCTCAGTGTGGCTGAGAAAAATTCATCTTGATACCTGTACTGTTTTATGGGAGTCAAGCCTCATTCTGTACAACTAAGACGCTCTAAACCACAGGGCCTGCACATAATAACCGAGGTTGAAGCCATAAATCCAGATGGATGTACGCTGTTAAACACATTTTACGGTTGCTTATTTCACAGATCATCCGTCTGAATGAACATCCTTAACCTGCTGACGTGCTCAGTTCAACAGAAGAGAGCCTTTTAAGTGACAAGACCTGAGCAGCACAATTTCTGCAACAGGAGATTGTAAGAGGCTCATATTCTCAGCATGACTCATTAGGGATGAAGTTGAAGTAAAACAACTTGTCTCTTGTCCAACGTTGTCCCATTTTGAATCAGAAAATGCTCCGGGATGCAGACTGACAGAGACAGCTCGGATAAGATAATTAGGTCTCTGTGAGTGCGGATCATTAGTACTCAGAGATAGCCGATGTGTCTGCTTGGCCCTTTTTCCTAAACATTGTGTCTGCTTTAGCTTATCTTAATTAACATGTGATGATACCTCCTAATCCTCCAATTACTGGAGGAACATCTTCTGGAGCATCTGCCGGTCGCTCATTACACAGGTATAGTAAGACTCAGGAATACAATTAAAAGCAGCTTAGCATTCTGTAGATTATGTAAAACAGACACATGCTGCGTCATACACAGACTTGTTTTTATCTGTGTTTTAAAAACTGTTCTACTTCATTTTCATACACTTTGACGTAAAACTGAAGATATTTGGAGAAAGTAAATACCACTGACTTAAATGTGGAATAATTACTGCATTGTTGCTATCCTAATTTTGGCAGCTTTTCAACAAGAAGAAACCTTTTTTTCTAATTTAAGTTGTGGGTATTTGACTTGGAGGATACAAATAAACAAGATAAAGAGTCACAATAAGTTGATACAAATGTAATAGATTATTATTCGTTTGCAGTTATTAAATCATAAAGCAAAGTATTGGCCACAACATTTAGTATGATTTAGCTATACATAACCTTTAGGGATTTTGTAAATGTTACAGTTCATCCTGAGGAGAAATCTCACACACATGTGTCAGTAATCTACTTAAGTATGTGTTGGTACATTCCACGCCAAGCACACATTTTGAGCTCTGGTTGGTGCTAGAGAGAAAGTCAGGGGATAACCAAAAATAATCAGGATGCATCCTCTGGCAACCATGAATATCTGTCCATAAGGATTGGGAGAATCCATCCAACATGTAGATTGCACTAGACCAGAGAGGTAGACTGACAGACTAACAATGTTAAAACCAACCCTTACAATACTAGGATGGTGTAACAAAATGTATTTTCTTTTACATTTTGAATTTTGTAGGCAATGCATTATCTTAGCTCCTGGAACATACTGAAAAACAAAAGAACAAAGGGACCTTAGAAGATACAAATATATGGAGCCGCTGTTTCCAAGCCACTGTTGTTTGCTTGAACCATGGCCAACAAATCAAAATAAAATAGTGGAAGGTCAGAACTATATATCTCAATGTTACTGCATTGCAATTCTGCCACCATAACCACTGGAGTGTCAGAAATGTCTCTCAATATGAGAAACAAGCCGCCACACTAGAATTATGACCCAGAGGCATTGTGTGGGTTTCAAACATCAAGCTGTCTGCTCAGTCACGGCTATGTGGGCTCTCCGACCAAACTAGACAGGAAATGGCCCTCTCCGAGCCTCCTGGCTTTTAGGGCTTCGCATTAAAAAAAGATGTGTGATGACGTGTTGATTTCAATCTGTGTCTGATGAAACTAAGAAGAAATACTTACGCAATGGGAATGCAAAATGAGGCGTTAAACCTCTGTGTTGGCAACCTTTTCCCAAACAGCATGCTGTGTTTTTATATGACTCATTTACAAAGTCTACTTTGGGTTTCCCAGGAGCAATAAACCATAGCCCTCAGAACAAACGCATCCA